CAGGGACACCTGGGTGCACCTGAGAGGCACCTGTGGGTACCTCAGGGGCACCTGGGCACACCTGGGGGGCACCTGTGGGTACCTGCAAGTACCTGGGGGGGCAGCTGTGGGCACGTGCGGGTACCTGGGGGTCACCTGTCCCTCACCTGTGCCCCGTGCCCGCAGGACTCGGTGCGGCTGCTGGCGGTCGAGGCCTGCGTGAGCATCGCGCAGCTGCTGCCGCAGGAGGAGCTGGAGGGGCTGGTGATGCCCACCCTGCGCCAGGCGGCCGAGGACAAGTCCTGGCGCGTGCGGTACATGGTGGCCGACAAGTTCACCGAGGTGGGGGCACCCCCGGGGTGGGGTTTGGGGGGAAATGTTTGTGCAGGGACCCCTCGGGGACCCTCGGGGACGGTGGGGACAGTGTCCCGGTGTCCCCGCAGCTCCAGCGCGCGGTGGGGCCCGAGATCACCAAGACCGACCTGGTGGGAGCCTTCCAGAGCCTGATGAAGGACTGCGAGGCCGAGGTGCGGGCGGCGGCCTCGCACAAGGTCAAAGGTCAGCCCCAAAGCCGCCTGGCACCACCCCAAATGTCCCCAGATCTGTCTGTCACCACCCCAAAGTGTCCCCAGATCCGTCCGTCACCACCCCAAAGTGTGCCCCCAAATCTGTCTGTCACCACCCCCTGGGTCATCAAATCCCCCTGTCGCGGCCCTAAATGTCCCCAATCCCCCCTGATGTCCCCAAAACGTCCCCTCTGTGTCCCCAGAGTTCTGTGAGAACCTGTCCCCGGACTGTCGCGAGGCCGTGATCATGGGCCAGATCCTGCCCTGCATCAAGGTGAGGCGCTGGGGCACCTGGGGGCACCTGGGACACACCTGGGGGCACCTGGGACACACCTGGGGACACACCTGGGGACACACTGGGGCATCTGGGGGCACCTGGGACACCTGGGGGGCACCTGGGGACACCTTCTGGCTCCTCCCGGTGGCCTCAGGGCCCATGGGGGTGCCCTTGGGTGTCAGTGTGTCCCTACCTGTCCCCCCCTGTCCCCACCTGTCCCCCCCTGTCCCCACCTGTCCCCACCTGTCCCCACCTGTCCCACCTGTGCTCACCTGTCCCACCTGTGCCCACCTGTCCCCCCCGCCCCAGGAGCTGG